GTAGTTGACAAACGTGCGTCATCGGGTTTCAAGGATGAAATGATATCGCGATTGATAATCGTCGAGACAATAAATTTCGATAACTGGACACGGATATAGTCTCCTCTGGAGAACCACTTTATTCCAAAACACGATTGGCGGCCGATGTACACCGGTGGAAACCGGTCATCTTACCACGTACCGGTAGCGTACAAACGGGACGAGGACAAATCGGTGTCCCGCCTCCCCACGGATGGCAAATTTGGGATCCGTGACCGCTCTTAATATCGAAAGGGTTAGAGGAGGAAGGGGTGGAGTGGAGAGTACGAGAAGGTGGAGGTAGGGGGAAGGCAAGGGAAAACAAGGCACGAGCTGCGGAGAGACTAACACGATGTGTTAGTTAACGAATGCGAGAATGCGGCCTGGCGCCAACACACACGTATACATACGGTTCAACGTGTCACGCATTGCCCGCTACCGGTCTCGGTATTGGTTTATCTCTTCTACCAGCTTCCCTGGATCTCTCTCCCCGTTGCATAGCTTCAAGACACGCACGCGAACTCCTCGTTTTCTTGTCGTGAAAGAAGAACGACTGAAAGGAAGAAAGAGGATGATAAAGGAGACAGCAGCCAGTAGCAGTTTAGAGGATATAAAAGCATTAAGGTAGTGTGAGATAGTCAAAGCTAAGTTGGCATTTCGAATTCTTCGTAAGATTCGTTTAAAATCAGTATGTGGAGCATACCAGTTCCATCTGTGTTTGTACGATGTATATATGGGTGCTTACATGTGTACGTGTGTATACGTTCTTCTTCGACGAAGATTGATGAATCGCTGTATTAATCGACCAGGTATTTCAGTAATTGATAATCGCTTATATCGAGTGGCAATGACATAGGTATATGTTTATCTAAGAACAACAGATCTTGATATGTAGTATTATTTTATTTGTTTTAAATATTAGGTGTGATGAATAATTTATTTTATTTTGATTTTACGTAGATAATGCTTAAGAATTGTTGAAAGATACCTGTTTCGTCTATTTCCTTCTTTTATTTTCATTCATCCATATTTCTTTTCATTCATGGTCAATAGTCTTTTTCGTTTTTTCTTCTCCTTCTCATCCTATCATTATTATTAGCAGTAAAGGAAATATAGATGGGCTAAGCTATGCCAAGAACGGCAAAGCTCGTACTAGTAAAGCAAGTTAAGCGTGTACTAACGGACAAGATTGTGAGGTATGTTAAATCAAGATAGCTACATCATTACGAAGCTGTAACTTTGGCTGGCGCCTCTTATTTCTTGTTCCATAGGGCCAAGACGTAAGCCTTAGTTTTTCTAACGCTGCATTGATACAGTAGTCTTCATTCTTTAAATATATATATCATATTTTCATATAGAAATGCAATAACATTAATAATAATGATATCATTAATAGTAATGATCTTAAATATATATTAATATAATTAAATATATTACGTAATCAAATAATCATAAATTATTTCTGTTACTATTTACATATTTTACTATTTAATCTTTAATGTTCAAATTATAATTGATAAAAAAAAAATAATCATAATTACAATTGATAAAATTCATCATATACTAATATAAATATAAATATATATATATATATATATATATACATTTATCAATTTATATATATTTATATAA